AAAAAAAAAAAAAAAAAGGTGGGCTGAAGACTTGCTGCATGGGTTGAAAATTGAAATCCCTAACGAAGTATTGATGGGAGGTGCAGCTACTGGATTAAAATAATAATAATAATAAAGTAAATAAATAAATAAGTAAAAAGCTGTGTGTTTGCATTAGCTCCGCCCCCCCCCCTCCCCTTCTGCCGACGGCCTCACTACACCTCGACAGTAGCATCTACACGGAGGAGACACGCCCTCAGTCGACACACACAACTCAGTCTGAAACCGACTTGTCACGCCTCGGGACTGATGTTGCATGTTAGCATTTAACAGTGTTAACCAGACATTGTATTTCCCATACTCTAGTTTCTTAATAATCAATAATTAATAATTCATCAATTTAATATTAATATAATATAATCAAATAATTGATAAATAATAATAATCAATACTTCTTCTTCTCTTGTCTGCAGCTTTTCTCTGAGGAGCATATGCAACTCGGCACTTGATTGAGTTTCACGTCGATTAACAATGGAAAACGAGGAGGATATGACACTCGAGCGCACACAAAAAGAGGGTAGCAGAACACATTAATAATTAATAATTATACTTTTCTTGTCTTCAGCTTTTCTCTGAGGAGAGCATATGAATAAGAAAAAAAACCTCGGTACTTGATCGAGTTTCACGTCGATTCACAATGAAAAAAATGAGGACATTGAGCAGCAGGGGATTGTTCTTTTCTCTTTTTTTCCCCTTTTTGGTCTTGGAACGTAGGGGAAATGATATGCTCGATTCAAAGTTTTTTTTTTTTTTTTTTTTTTTTTTTCCAGACTGCTGTACTTTTGAAACAATGAATGAAGGGGAGACAAAAAGAAAAAGAAAAAAGAAGAAAGAGCGGCAAACTCTCCCTTCGACTCTGTTTCATTTTTGGGTGCTACTTGTTTTGGTGTTCTTCCTCGGCTCAGGTTGTCCGATGCTCCTTCCTTCTTTCAAATCCTTCTTGCAGGCTATCGGCACATAAATGAATATCAGGAGATGTGAGCGGCATATGTTGTTTCGGCCAAGAGGCGCATGTGCTCCTACAGACAGGCGCCCATCGCGTCAGGCAGCGTTTGTCCTAAAAATCTCTGCGCCGTGGAGCCGAAGAGTCCTCCTGATGATGGTTAGCGGCGGTACTGGCGCTGGCCGTAACCGGTAGAGGGTAAAGCCAGCAGGCGGCGTTTATCGTGAAATCTCTACGCTGTGGAGCGTTAACTGTGCTTCTTTTGTGTTCGATATCATTGATGCTCGATCTGTTTTTTGGTGTCGTTATCGCTTTGGTTCGAGCCTGCTGGATGTGACGGGCGCCACGGTTGTTTTTTTTAACCTTCTTTTTTTTTTTTTTTTTTTTTTTTTTGTCTCTCTCTCCATATTCCTCGTTTGTTGTCCTCTTCTCCCTCTCTACCTACGGTTTACCGGGCAGCTCTGTTTGACTATAAAGTTTGAAAAAATAATATTTTTTTTCATGC